GTGGAGAAGGCGAAGGTGGTGGAATTGTTAATCAATGATGTTATATGCTGAACCAAGTTGTATTTGATGAATATGTTGTGATGACTAGGGGATAAAGCTGAGATAAATATGTTAGTTGTATTAGAGGTGTATTATTGAGCTGGAATCAATGGATTAATAAGTGATAAACACTATTACATTGCTCCATTACATAGCATGTTCTTGACTTTTATTTGACTTTGTTTTTGTGCTACCAAGTTGTAAGTTGTTGTTGTACACTTGTGTTGTGATCATCAAAAATTCTTTAGGCTTCAAGCTCTTCTAAGCTCAACAATCTCCCCCTTTTTGATGATGACAACCCATGATTCTTATTATATCAATCCAATGCTAATGATATTGTCCTTCAAAGCTTCTTAGCCATTGTGCCCTTTAATTCCAACATACAAAACCTGTATAAAACCTGCACAATACACACACAAGCACAATACTCATAAAAACAACAACTATACACACAACCTTTTTAACCTTTTCTCCCCCTTTGGCATTATCAAAAACAAAGTAAGCCAAGTTTGACAATTATAAGCCATGTACAGAGTATGTCCAGCAATAACCAAGTAAAACAAAACTTTGGCTCAGCAATCCAACTGGAATCATTTGTACAATTCAGAACAAGTCAAGCCAAGAAACACATCACCACAATATAAACAAACAGAGCATTCTAATCAGCAAAATCAAAATTAAAATATCACCACACATGCTAACAAAAACAGAGCATCTTAACACCAACATTCCAAGTCACACTTTGAAATCACAATCAAGTCAACATATTAGCACAAGAAACTCCAAATTCATCAGAATTTAAATTGTTCAACAACAGAAAGCATGAAAATTGTTTAGAAATTAAAAAACTTACAACCAAATTGAAATTAATTGTTCCAAACCAGAAATTAAAATCCTAATTAAAACTAATCAAAACAAAGCAAAGATCAATCCTCATCCTCCGGTATCCCAAGTTGAGCCTTGATTAGCCTCACTTCATGGTCTAGATCATCAAATATGTCAAGAATACCGGAAAACAAAGACTCATGTCTTCTCGACATTTCCATAACCGAATCAATTTTGTTGATCATCAATTGCTCAAAGGGTGAAAATGGCTTAAGCTCCACTTCAGGCTCCCTGCTCGGTTCAGTTTCCACCTGTGGTGGCTGATCTTCATCGTGTGACGGAACACCATCTTCATCGGTTGCCTGCTCTGGAGTTAGGGGTACATCGCCTTTAAACACCTATTTGTCTTCTTGTTTGAGCATCCCCATGTGATGCAATGAAGACTTTGCTATTATGTTTGAGGCATGCAAAATTATTTTTCTTTCTCCAGATAAATCTACACCGGCAACTTCAAAAATCTTAGACAACAAAAGAGCATAAGGAATTGGGCTGTATTCCTTCCTTCTAGCCTTCCACATACAATCGTTCACGACCGATTCCTAATCGATCTTTATTTTCTTTTTAATCACATGCATCAACAAAATGTCATCTCTTGACATCTGAGCATGGTTGTGCAACCTCGGTTTCAACATCCAAGCAATAATAAAAGAAATTAAACGAGAGTTCTTTTTCATACCTCCCGCCAAGAATTTCTCATAATTTGTGTTTACCGGGTTCCTTTGACAGTCCCGAAATGTTGTTAGCTCTTCAAAATCCACAAAGTTGAACGGTTGGGGTTTCTCCTATCCAGTGCCGCTCAGCCCTGTAGCAGCCTCCAATGTCGGTCCGTCCAACCGAATCATTTTCCCTTTTACCACCGATTGCATAATGCCTTCGTTGCTTGTGGCAAAGCAGAGGAATAACCTTATCAACTCAGGATTATAAGGTCCATCCATATCCAAAAATTTCTTCAATCCTTGGTGCTCCAAAAGGGTTGGAAAACTGAAACCCTCATTCTTAAACCATTCAAGTTTAAGGGTCTTCGGAGGAATGATTCTCCGTCCGGCGTACCACTCAAAATAGTACTCTTGAGCTTTCTCATCAGCAAACCACTTAGTTATCAGCTACCCAGAGGGTAGAGGACGCATTCTCCCCCTCACTTCAAGCTTCTTTGGTCTTTTGGATGAAGAAGCCATGGATGGGTCTTGACGAAAATGAAGAAGATGAGAGATTTGAGAGGGTTTGAGAGAGTTAGGGTTTAGTGGGTTGAGAGAAAATGAGAGAATGAGAGAAGTTGGGAGAAGTGTGTTATGCCCTAGCACATTCTGGGTATAAGAGTAATGGGTAGTTTTAAAAGTTGGCGCGGAGATAACCGTTTAAGAATGCTTCAGGATTTAAAAAAACCGCCCAGATAATCGATTATTTATGCAAATAATCGATTATTTGCACAAGCAAAATCCCTCTAAAAAAGGATAATCGATTATTACAGAGGGTATTTTCTCCTAACACAACCTAGATAATCGATTATTTATAGAATAATCGATTATTCCAGTGGCCTTTCAAATTCCACTACTCAGATAATCGATTATTTCCCAAGATAATCGATTATTACAGTGACTCTTGAGTTTCTTCTCACCAGATAATCGATTATTGCCCAAATAATCGATTATTTCAGAGGCTCTTGGAATTCTTCATGTTCCAGATAATCGATTATTTCAGAGGCTCTTGGAATTCTTCATGTTCCAGATAATCGATTATTACCCAAATAATCGATTATTTCCATGGGTTTACTTAAGATAATCAATTATTTCTTAAGATAATCGATTATTGTGAGACCCGTCTTCCCTCTCAACTTTTCCCTTCACTCTTTTCTTCTCCCCCATTCACTCTTCCTCTCTTTGCCTTGTTTTCCTTTCTCTGACCTTTGGTACCTTTAGGTGCTGAGCTAGAGTTGGGAGGTTCTAGCTGGGTGTTCGGAACCTTCTCTCTTCTTCTCCTCCTTCGTTGCTCAAGCTTTTTGGTGAGACCCGTACAGATTTGTTCTCCCTTCCCTAACTCCCTAACTTGCGGAGCTTCCTCTTCTCCTTCTCCCTTTCTTCCCCGTTGAGCATTTTCTTCTACTTCCCGGAGCTAGGATCTCTTGATTTGAGGTAAGGGAAGCTAGACTTATGGCTGTTTGGTTTGTGAAAGAATGCATAATCACATGGCATAACCGATTTTCGTGAAATTGATGAGTTGTGGTGAGGAACACTCACCTTTGGGGTTTTCGGGGTAGGGTGAAAATTTGGGGGATCTTCACAATCTGTGAATGCATGCTGAAAAGGAGATGTTTTTCATGATGTATGATGAAAATGTGACACTTTGAACCGTTTGCATGTGGTTTTTTTTGTTAAGTTTTGCAGGTTTTTGGAAATTTTTCGAACTTGGGGAAGTTACTGATGAGTTCGCACTAGGTGCTGTTCTTCGGACCGGGCGTGCGACCACTAGGAGACTCTGTTTAGGCAAGCCCGCTGGGCGCAAGGCTGTGTGCGCTGGGTGAGCTTGCAAATGGGAGTCTCTGGTTGGCCCGTGCAGGGCGTGACTCGAGGTACGCTGGGCGCGATATCAAGAGTAACATGTTTTGGGATAATTGGTGCCGCGCTAGGCGCACGTTTGGACTCGCTGGGCGCGGAGGCTCCTTGGGAGTCTCTGCCAAGAGCACGTCGGGTGCAATACGAATTGTGCCAGGCGTGAGACCTTGGTAGGTCTCTGCCTTTCCCACGCTGGGCGCGAGTTAGGCCCCGCTGGGCGCACGAGACTCCTTGAGTCTCTGCCAGGCAGGCGCTGGGCGCAATTTGGAATTCCGCCAGGCGCGGGAGAGCCTTGGTGCTCTCGGGTTGAGTCTCGCCGGGCGCGAGCACTCCTGCGCTGGGCGCGCTGGCCCTGGTGCTCTCGGGTTAAGCCGCGCTGGGCGCGACCTGGAGTACGCCGGGCGCGCAAGGAGATGATGACCTATATGATGTTGGTTGTTGATTTGTGCCGAGATTGTTAATCAATGATGTTATATGCTGAACCAAGTTGTATTTGATGAATATGTTGTGATGACTAGGGGATAAAGCTGAGATAAATATGTTAGTTGTATTAGAGGTGTATTATTGAGCTGGAATCAATGGATTAATAAGTGAAATTTTATAGTGTAGCGGAATTATAGACTGTTGGGCTGAATTGTAGAAAATAATAATTGTGTTGAATTGTTGTGTTGTGTTATGTTGTGTTGTGCTGTGTTGTGTTGTGCTGTGCTGTGCTGTGCTATGCTGGATGAGTTGTGTGATATTATAGCCGCTAAGTCGGTGCTGTTGTTAGCCACACATGTGGTGCTGATTCTAACCGCTAAGGCGGTGCTGTTGTTGCCGCTTTGCGGTGCCGTTATAGCCACTCGAGTGGTGCTATTGTTGCTGCTAAGCAGTGCTGATATTGCCGCATTGCGGTGCTGATATTGTTGAGTGGTATAAGCTGTACAAGTGTGCTGATAACTGTATCTGTTGTTTATTTATATTGATATATATATATTTGTATGTTGAATTTTAATTACACTAGCTTACCCTTTTGTTGTCTCCATGATGTTGGACTGCAATGATCATACTATGTGTGGGAGGAGAGCAGGGATAGGTGGGCGTCTGATGATGAGTCTTCGGAGGACCAGTAGAGCTGATCGCTTTTATGATTTTTTTTGCTGTGTAGCTACTTGGGATAATAGCATTTGATTGTAATTTCTTTTGTACACTCTAACTCTAGTTGGATTGGAACTCTTTATATATTTATATTCTAGACCCTATAATTATATACTCGTTCTATTCTATCTAGTGTTTTCGGTGTGCGGTGGTTGGAAGTGTAGTGGCCAGCCTGGTCGTTACACTTTAGTGGTATCAGAGCCCGGTTCGAGTCTAGTGGACACTCTTTGGGGGTGGTCCCTTTAAGATTTTTGCTGTGTTAACTCTGTGCTGTGTTGTTTTGCTGTGATGTCTGCTGTGCTGAAATTGCTGTGATGATTTGTTGTGTTGTTGATTGTGGTGTGGTTTAGTTATTGTTTACTAAAGATGCTGTTAATTTTGTAGATGATGACTAGGACCAACGAGCAGATAGCTCGTGCCATAGAGATGATGGCCATGGCTATGCAACAGCAAAATGCCTATTTTTCTAGGATGGAGGCTGAGAGAGCTGCAGCTGGTGCAGCAAGAACTACAGGGTCACAGGAGAGCTGGGACCTTGCTGAGTTCTGGAAGTGTAATCCTCCACAGTTTGCAGGAGATGCGGATCCAGAAGTAGCTGACCGCTGGATCCGTGAGCTAGAGAAGATCTTTACAGTATTGGGATGTCCTCCAGAGAGGAGGTTAGCATATGTTGTGAACATGCTTGCTGGGGAGGCTGAACATTGGTGGAGAGGAACCTATCAGATGCTTGCTGCTAGAGGAGTTACAGTTGATTGGGAGTGCTTCCGGACAGTGTTTATGGAGAAGTACTTTCCGGAAAGCGTGAGGCATGCCAAGGAGGCAGAGTTTATGCGACTGCATCAGGGAGGGATGACAGTTTCTGAGTATGCGATGAAATTCCAGCACCTGGCTCATTTTTATTCGCAAGGTATAGCTGAGGCCTGGAAATGCAGGAAATTTACTGATGGGTTGAGATATGAGTTGAGGAGGGTGGTGGTGCCTATGGCCATCACTGAGTTCCCGACCTTAGTGGAGAAGGCGAAGGTGGTGGAGCGGTTGGAAGGTGGTAACCGTGCTGTGAGGACTGCTGGGGGGCCATCTGGGTCCAAGAAGTGTGAGAGTCAGAGGAAGCCGTATGACAGGCCCCACTCTCAGCAATGGGGTTCTGTTGCTCGGCAATCTTCTAGTGCTGCTAGTGGAGGTAGACAGAGTGGAGGTGCCACTCTGAGATGTTTCAGGTGTGCTAGGCCCCACTTTGTTAGGGACTTCCCGCACACGGAGAGTCGTTGCTTCAGATGTCATCAGATGGGCCACGAGTCAGCCAACTGCCCTGCTAGGGGCAGACCAGAGAGGAGTACTCTGAGGGGTGATGTGCAGAGAGCTGATACTCAGAGGAGTAGTGCACAGAGAGCTGATACTCAAAGGGGTGACAGACCCACTACTACTGGTAGTAGAGTATTTGCCTTGACAGGTGCTGAGGCTTCGACTTCTTCTAATCTTATGAAAGGGAAGGGCAAAGTTGCTGGTAAGGATGTGATGATTCTC